CAAGGCCAGACGGTCGCGCTTGTCGGCTCGTCCGGCTCGGGCAAGAGCACGCTTGTCGCCCTCCTTGAGCGCTTTTACGAACCCACGAGCGGCCAGATCCTCCTCGACGGCCGCGACATATCGTCGCTCCAGCTCAAGTGGCTTCGGTCACAGATCGGCCTCGTGTCCCAGGAACCCGTCCTCTTTGCGACGACGATCCTCGAAAACATTGCGGCCGGCGGCGACAACATCTCCAAGGACGAGGTGATCGCGGCCGCGAAGCTCGCCAACGCCCACGACTTTATCATGAGCCTTCCGAACCAGTACGACACCATGTGCGGCGAGAAGGGCACGACGTTGTCCGGTGGCCAAAAGCAGCGCGTCGCGATCGCCCGAGCGCTCGTGCGGCAGCCCAAGATCCTCGTGCTCGACGAAGCCACGTCGGCGCTCGACAACGAGAGCGAGCGCGTCGTGCAGGCGGCGCTCAACGACCTCATGGAGAAGACCAACATGACGACGATCGTGATTGCGCACCGGCTGTCGACGATCCGCAAGGCAGACAAGATCATCGTGTTGTCCAAGGGTCTCGTGGTCGAAGAGGGCACGCATGCGACGTTGATGGACATTGAAGACGGGTTGTACCGGACGTTGGTCGAGCTCCAAGACGGCACGGCGTCGACCGACTCGTCGGATGTTGACTCGCCGTCGCACGCCGAGCGCATCTCGCTGGCGCTGGAAGCGGCGGACGTCGACAAGGCCGAGCTCATCCGCAAGTATAGCAGCGTGTCGCACCACCACATCGACTTTGACGCGCTCCCAGTGGCGGGTCGAGGCGCCGGCCGCCGAGGTCTCGCTCTGGCGCATCATCCAGCTGACCAAGCCGGAGCGGCCGTACATGATTGCGGGGTTCGCTGCGTGCATTTTGAACGGCTTCTCGATGCCCGGTATCTCGCTCATCATCTCGAACGTGCTCTCGTCGATGCAAAAGTACTTTACGCTCTTCGTACAAACCAAGGACGCGTCGTACCTCCACACGCTCTACACCGACATTCGGACGCAGGCGATCATCTTCATCGGGATCGCGGTCGCCATGTTCTTTGTCGGCTTCACGCAGACCTTTAGCTTCCGCACGATAGCCGAGAAGCTCACGACGCGGCTGCGCAACATGCACTTCCAGGCGCTCATGCGCCAGGACATTGGCTACTTTGACATGGACGGCCACACGACCGGCGCTTTGACAACCGACCTCGCCACGTACTCGACCAAGGTCGTCGTCATCGCCGGCGAGAACCAAGCGCGGCTACTGCAGACCATCTTTACCATGGTCGGCGGTCTCGTCATCTCGTTTGGCTTTGGCAGCTGGCAGCTCACGCTCGTCATGCTCTGCGTCATGCCCATCATGCTCATTGCGTCCGTCGTGCGCACGCGTCAGCTCCGCAACCACAACGTCACCGACACGCTCACCACGTCCGGATCGCTTGCGACTGAAGCGATCGTCAACGCCCGGACGGTCACGGCCCTCGGCCTTCAAGAGAACCTTGTCGCCAAGTACGATACGCTGCTGCTCGAGCCGATGCAAGACGGCGTCCGCGAAGCTCAAGTCAACGGCCTCATGACCGGCTTTGGCCCGGC